CTAGTTGTTAGCGTTGCCGGACTGACATATTTTGTCCCGAAATCGCCCTCAGCATTTTGAGGCCATGGGAGCAATATAAGAGTGCCGGCAAATCCTGCTATTTGATTAGAATAGCCCAAGAGTTGGCGGTGGGTGCTGTTTTCCTTAGTGGTGTAGTGAGATGATGCAGGGGACATTTGCCCCCAGGCGCCGAGTTCGGGAGCGTCCATTTAACAGTAGATTAACAGTTTTTCCCGGCATTTATAGCATTTCTGACGACTTCAGAAACGTTGTTCTCTACAACAGGCAGTTGCCGCCCATTCCAGTGTACTTCATCATTAATACTTTGCCTAAACAATCTATCTAAGAATATTTATTTATTCTATAACCAGTTAATTAATAGTAATTATTACTTTCACGTGAATTAACTTTACTACTGTTGTAAGCTATATCTTAAATGTTGTAATTTATTTGTTAGTTAGAGGGGTTGCAGGGTTTTTGATGGTTTAATGGTACATTAAGTTCATATTAGTTTTAGAAGTTTCTAGAACAAGGAATAGTCATATATATGAGCCATTGAAGTCTCGAACTAGTAGTACAGTTAGTTGAGTTGAAAAGTAGTTGCGATAAAAGAGATTTATCGTGCTGTTTTATATAAGTAACTGGACCGATTATACTTTAATCCTAGTATTGTTGTCAGAGAGGTTTTACGTCATTTGTAAATTTAAATTCACCACAAATTACAAAGCGTAAAAGTCTGTAAAGAACGAATAAGGAAGAAATAAACATATTTATTCATCTAAAATGGAGTGGACGTTGAATTAATTTTCACCAGTTAATTATAAAGAACCCGCAAAAAAAGAACATAGTTACAACAACATTTTCCAGGAATTTCACACTAAAAAATAGGAATAAGGATCACACTTTTATAGGAATTTTTCATGAAGTAAAAAAACAGCTTACAACACAAAGTTCCATACAAAATATTCGTGATGATCAAAATACAGCTTATGAAAGTGAATATGATATGCCTTGCATTTACGTTAACCTTTAAATGTTGTTGTTTTATTTGGTGTCGTGCAGAAAATTACACAATGAGTTGTCTGGACTCTATACATCTGGGATATCAAACACCGAGTTTTAGAGTTTTAAGCCGACAGACTTACCGCTGATCCACAGGGGGGCATTTCCGTTTTTCTGTTCACATCAAAATGCAGTTTTTATTTATTACATATAAAAATAGGAAATATTTTCCGTTTTTCTGTTCACATCAAAATGCAGTTTTTATTTATTACATATAAAAATAGGAAATATTTTCCGTTTTTCTGTTCACATCAAAATGCAGTTTTTATTTATTACATATAAAAATAGGAAATATGGGAAGTCGTAAAAAAAGCCACATGATGGCATGTTCATTACAGAAAGATACTGACAGTAATGGCAAACCAACATTGTAGACCAATTGTTACGCGTGGCTTAATGTTACCAGCTGACCATACTTATCATCAAGTTGGCTAGTTCACAACCCACTCAGTGATACAAAACCCAGATATAAACATTACTTTGAATAGCATATACACTTAAGATGAGCGAAGTTTACATTTTTCAGTATACACTACAAAGGGGATTTAAAAAGGTTTTCAAACTTTATATATGTATGTTTTTTTTTACTCACATAGTAATCCCGTATTTATGTAGGAATTTCAAGAATATGCAACATCGATGCTACTAATTTATTTTTTGAGAATTATTCAGCTGACATACTGTTTAAAAAATCTGCAAAAAAACAGTTTAAAACATATTAAAAATAACATGTAGCCGAGTCTTATTCTTTTGATTTGCTTTTGTGCAGAGTTTTTGATGAGTTAAATGAAGAGACTAGACATAATAATTTATTAGATTGAATAATGATCACAATTTTAGAAGAAAACCCAAATATACCTACTGTAGTATTGAGGCGTTTCATTCATCGTTGTGACGTCATTTTCTATAACATGACGCACCTTATCAATCTAGTAACATAAAAACCCATGAGTACCTGACCTGAAAAATGGTTCGGAGGAAGGCTAAGTAGTGGCGGTAAAAGTAAAAACAGGACAAGTTATATCACACAGTTAACAGTCATGTAACTTGTACTGAGGCCCATCTCTTCCAACCCAAACACTCACCATATTAGTCACTTATATCTTCATATTGTTACGTCTCTGGTCGTTTGTTAATTACTCTTAAAAATTATTTCCGAAGAACTTCAGCGATACAAGTTCTTTCTCAAATAAAACTAGTTTATTCTTTCTCAATTCAACTTTGCAATACATTTAATTTCCAAAATCACCTTAACTTCAACATACGCTATAATTTACAACGAATGATT